GGAGAGGTGCATCGGCTCCAGCTGTGAGCACAGAGCCGCTCTGACAGGGCCAGGCCGGCTCGCCAGGCCTTCTGACCAAAAAGAGGGAATCCCAGATGTGAACTCCGGACTGTTATCCTCAGCCTTCAAACTGAAGTGCGTTCGTTTCATTTCAGTGCTAACTGACCGAGACCCGTCACTACTTCAGAGTTACTAGTTTTAACTGAAAGACCTGAGGCACACGCCCAGTATGGCTGAAGCTCCACACACAGTACTCAAGCATCAAATGCAGATAAACATAAAAAGTCTTTTCCCTGGGGACCCAGCAGAAGCACCAGTGATAGCTTTGTCTGTAGATCAACATTAAAATCCCAAGTGACAGAACTCACAGGTATTCTCTTCAGAGACCACTGCACAAGCCAATGGGTTTTAGACATAAATCGTCCTATAAAGTTAAAACACAAAATTTGAACTGAACTATCAAAGAAAGAAGAAATTAGGGGATTATTATCAACAGAACAAGCCAAATAAAATTCTTTGTTTCATGCTCCATTCTTAAAGAAAAAAAAAAAAACCAAACGGTATTCCCAATGCTGCTGGTATCAAAAGCATAACAAATGCCATAGTTAACAAAAACAACAAATATGCATTCATAAATATTTTGCAGTCTACTTTGTGTCTGAAGACACTACAAAAAGCAACTGCATTCAGTCTTGAAAATATACCTATAATGTAAATCAACTACCTAACATTCCAAACACATGGCATCAAATAACTGAGCATGCCTCCCTTAGATCAGGCAGGAATCTTACGAAGTAACGTCTAACTTCTGTTTATGAAGAAATTCTGTAAGATGTTTTTTAAAATCAGTTCCTTTATTTCACAAAGGGTTTTTGAAGATCCTTTTGAAGTGGTCTGTACAGCTTCCTGAAGCTATAAATATTAGTACTGGCAAGAACACTATTTCTCTTAAGCGCTGAACGTTTCAGTGCATATTTTCAATGCTTGAGAATTATTACTATGTCACCTTTTATCCATTAACTGCCAGAGAAGAATCCAGGTACGACTACCATACAGAACACGTGAAGTAAATTTTTAGAACTCTAGGCACTGCCACTGGATGCACAGGGATGAAACAAAACAAGCATACATTAAAGATGTACTTACAAGAAGATGAAACATATTCTGTACAAAAACTGGAACTAGGAAAGAACCATGGTTATTTTTATCCATTTTTTCACTTTTGCTATACAACACATCTAAGATACACACATGTTTTAGCTAGGTTTGATCTTGAAGCCACCTAAACTCTTTAAGACCCTATTCCATCTCCAAAACAAACATAATGGTCTTGGAAAAGTGAAAAAAAAAAAAAAAAGCAAACAAAAAGTGCCTACTGATCATTCTGATAAGCCCCATCTCCCCAAAGTGTTACCTTTTAACAGACCTTTTATGCTAGCCCTTTGTTAAAAACAGCAGGCATAGTTTTCAGTATGCCTTATGTTTTTCCTGTTTAGTAACGGGTCTTACAGAACATGAGAACTCCATACAAATTGATAATTTAAAAATCATAGCAGTTCTGAATATCACTTTATTTATTCTTCTCATCTTTCCACATTTCAACTTACCTTAGATACTGGGGAAATCTGACTTCGGCCTGGCTGATTCTGAAGGTGACTAGCATCTCTCTCTGGCACAGAATCCACTGCATTGTCATCCTGTTGTGATTCAACCATTTCCATGGTCATCTGCCTAAAAGTAAGGACATACACAACTAAATAAGGCAGTACAGGGAGGTTTACCAGGCACCTAGGGAGAAAAACAGCAATTCCAGACTATTTTACATTTGGAGCACTCAACTAACAACTAGCAGGAAATAAATAGATTTTCTCAAAACTGTCGGATTAACTGAAGTCCTTTCTTCCCCATTACCCCATATTAAAACAGGCATTCCTATAGCCAGGAGCTCTAAAACAAGTACTTTGGAAAACTGCGAGGGGCAGTTCTGGAAATGGTTCTCATGCATGTGAGTGTATGAGAAGACATGCAGAGAGTCCTGGGGTCCTGTGCAGTGTCGATGGCGGGGCCGAGAGCGCAGTGCTCCGGGGCAGCCCACCAGCACTGCCTACAGCAGGTCCCTCGTGCCTCACGTCTCCCACTGGACAAGGGCAGGGCCCTCATGCCTTACATCTCCCACCGGACAAGGGCAGGGCCCTCGTGCCTCACGTCTCCCACTGGACAAGGCTCCAGTTGACCAGCAGCCACGTGCTGCTACAGCCCACTCGAACCTTCTGAGATACCGGCCCCCAGCTAGGATCTATGCTTGAGTTGTCTTGTGAACTACTCACAGCTCAAGACCCACCACAATTCTTCTCGTTTTGCAGGTTTAAAAGTAGGGTAAGTTTCAAAGAAGAGTAAGCAACTCCCTGACCCTCAATTTAAACTATGAATTTAAACTCCATATAGAAAGCTTCCAAATGTATCTGCTATATAAAAAATACAATTACCTGACAGTTGCTTTTCCATATTTCCTGGCACACTTAGTCATAAGGGAAGGTGTGTGTTTTGAAACAAGAACTTGGTTCTCTTCGGCTCCCTTTCTCTCCTACCAAACCCTGCACTGAAGGTGCGACATTGAACAGGTGACGTCACAATCATTGCCACGGCAACAGGTCAGTTTACAAACAGAGCAGAGACAGGCTAGGGTCAGGCAGAGGCAGGCAGGACGCCCTGCGGGCGCACTCCCACTTACACCTTACCTACACAAGGAACTGAGGCCACAAAAGGAAAACAGTGATAGAGCCGTGGGATTTGAGAGGCAGCAAATCTCACTTCCTCGGTTCGGTTACTGTAACTAGGGGATGGCAAGCCCATCTGAACACAAAATTCAACTGTTTCAACTGGTTGACAGTTACTGCAGTTTCTTCTCAGGTCTTACAGTAAGAGATAGAAGAGACGGGGAAGTAAGTATGATATATGCCTGACTCCAAGGCTCCTGAATTTAGTCCCACGTGTTAAAAGTTAAATACATTAAGTCAAATTAAATGTAAACGCAACTCCTTTTGTGGCACTATTTTACAGAATATTCTGCAATCTTCGAGGAGAGTAATTTAAAAAAAAAAAAAATCACCCTTTTGCCTAGAATAAAGGCATGAAAATATGAAAAGGAATCCAGTCAAATGATGCAGAGAAGCATATTTCTAGCCTATATGCCTCTAACGGTATTCTACTGACCAGACTCAACAGTACTATGGGTAGTGGTAGCCAAGCCCTACACAATTCAAGATTTTATGGGTTAACTTTAGTATTTCTGCCAACAAAATCTACATACTTCATGCCAATATTAATTCAGATTAGATTCATATGGAGACATTTTACACCTAAAATCTTTCTACATTCCTGTCTTGTTAGTTACCACTAATTACCCTTTTCTCTAGATACAATCTAAGTAAACATCTACTGAAATTCACCAAAGTCGAGCAGCTCTGGTGAGAATGTTTTCACCAAGCTTTCCACCATAATTTTCCATAACAAGATTGTTTCATATGTTTCATATGTTTCATATGTTTCATATGTTTCATATGTTTCATATGTTTCATATGTACATTCAATATAATAATAACAATAAAAAGAGCAGAAAAAAAAACATTCCTCCTTAGCAAGCTAGGACCATCCAGAGCTTTAATGTTTGAGATTCTGTATCTGGTTCATGCGAGAATGCCTCCGTAAGCATCAGAACAGCTCACACAACAAGGAAGGTTAAATAATGCATAGGTACTGGCAAAATATTCACCACAATCTCTTCCTAAAAGATGGGAATATAGTCAGAATTAATTCACTTTATACAGGCCTTGAAGTATTTTCTTATCCAAAGCCATCTGTCACAGACAACCTACTGCTGGGAAGAAAACCCCAGTATTTTTATTCTCACTGAATGCATTCCATAGAAATTTTACCTGGAAAGAGCCATCCTTCATGTTGTGAAAAATAGGGTTTAGTTTCTAAACTTTAGCTTAATTCCTCACTGACTGCAGAACACCATAAAAAATTATTTCTTTTTACTACTTTGATTATCGGTATTCTTCTCTCCAAGTCTTTTCATCTGCTGTACCCCAGTAACCAAGTTGGCAAATAGCTATGAAAAGAGCATCAGTGCAGCAGAAGATCTAATAAAAATTTATTCCTAGTATTTTACAAAATACAGTACAAAGGACTGTATTTTTTAGATTATCTATGTTAAATTAGAAAAACAACAGCAAGTATTATACATGCCAGTGAAATGACAAATATAATTAAGACTTACAACATACATGAAAAACTCACAAATTTAAATCGATTTTCCATCTATAATTGTGTATATTCTGACTCTTAACACAAATGACTGCCTATCTTAAATCTTTAGCAGTGGAGTAAAATCTGAAAATTTGTATACTGCTTTTAATTAGCTTTTTTTTTTTTTTTGGACTGCCACAAAATGCAACCATTACCCTATAGAACACAGCAAAAACTCTTTCTAGATAAGCTAAAATATACTTGTTTTTCACAACCTGGTAATTCTAGTATGTTTGTAAACAAAGACTTCACTAAAAATGCCTTCCAAATATAAAGACCTAACTACAGCCTATATAATTAAAACAAAAATAACAAAGGACATAAGTAATTTTAAAAGATACACTAGTTTTCTTGGCATAAAACATCAATGAGAAAGATGACTTAAGGACAAAATGTAGCACATTAGTATTACAATCCAGACACATTACAAGACTATGAATCTTTGGTGGACATAACTGTAGGGGATCACTAAACTTGCAGGTGAAGGTCAGTCGCAGCGACTTGAGCCCTGGGGTTAGGAGTGGTATAGCCACATGGGGCCTTGTCACTTCATCTGGGCCCGTGCGCAGCTCAAGACCATGCATGCTAAGAAAGTCCTGAATTTCACAGTCCGGTCCAGGTTATCACAGTCTTTAGTGGACTCTCATGAACTCTCAAATCTCTACAACCTGAGTTGTACATGCTTTGTATTTCCTGCATTATCTCATATATTGTTTTACCATGAGCATACCTAAAAGTGTTTTTAATAAATATATAGATTGAGATCATAACTGTGGTTTTTTTTTTAAAACATCCGTAATATGGGCTGTGGTAAGAAACAGTTATTAATCCAAACCAGAAACTGCCGACATAAGTGGTTTCCACATGTATCACACTCAGTCAGTCTACACTGCAAGGAAATTCTAACATCTTTATTGCTTCAAAGTAAAAAAGAACAATCTTTTCCAATAACTTAAAATCCTTTATAAAAGCGTACAAGTAGTAGTATACATCACACTTTAAAGTTTACATTACCTTCCTCCTATTTTTAAAGGAAAACCAAGCAGTTTTAAAGTGTATGGTCTTTTAGGTCCGTTTAAAATTATACAATGTTTTTCTTCATTGTATGATTATTTACATACAAGCTTCAGTCTTACATTTAGTATCAATACACTAATTTCTTACATTTTCCACCTTGGTTGCTTACCATCATTGAACAGTAGTTTTAAATATTAACTTGTTTATTAATTTAAAAATCCAAACTATTATCTCTCCCCTCCTATAAAAAAAGGGGGCAAAAATGGCTTTCCATAATGTAAGCAAAGATACCCACTTCTACCTACAAAACAGCAAAGAAATCTTCAGGATCTAGCAAGAGGTTTATCTGTGAACTAGCTAGTAACATTTCAATAGATATTAGCACATGTTTGCTATAATCACTGTAGGTCAGCAGCAGGTAAACACTGATTAAGATGATGTATATGGTGCACATCAAAAGCTTCCTCAGCTGGTTATAGCAGCATCCCTGATGAGACAATACCAACAGCCAGCGTCAGCTAAAGGAAAATGTTGCCCAGGTGACCTGGAAAACTGGAAGTCATTTGCAGCTAGAGGTGTGAACCTTCCATATTTTTGTCCATAAATAAAAGGTTATGGATAGCATCCTTATCCAGATGTGTTCTTGTATAATAAAGAGCACAAAAAATCCTTTCACTCTTCCCCAATACTGCTGTTTGTTTTTCAAGTACCTCACTGAATATTCATATAAATATTTAATGGCTGTTGGTGAAGCTGTACTGCATAAGCAAATTGGTACAGTACGTTGCATAGCTGGAAATGTATGACTGTCTAATTAAATACCCAGAGACATTTTAAAGACAACTTTTTTATTTCAACAATACTTTATACATCAGAGACTGTTGACAAAGGTGGCTTGTTACAAAGGAAATTTTAAGAGGCTAACAAATACGTTTCAGCCCTTGCCCCAAATCTCCTTTGATGGCTTTTAATCACAGGGAAGTTATTAGAAAGCAAGGATGTGAATTTGCAAACACCTATTTTGCATTTATTGATGACCCCATGGTGAGCATGGAAACTCTCCAATTTTTTCGGAAGAGCAGTGTTTTCAAGTATGAAGTTTAAAATCTGGTTTATGACACTGCTTCGTAAAGCACACCAACTGGCAAGGTGGTCACAGCATTCAGCCAGGTAAAATGAGCAACAGGCCACACTCTGCAAGTGTAAACTTTAAGTTTTCAGTAGAATACTTCAGCAGAATACTAAGTTTCTTGTGTCTCCTAAACTCTAACCCGTTTCCTTGTCTTCTTCCCCATCCTTTGCTTCCTAGAATATCTCAACAAAACTCTCTCTCAAAAAAAGTAAAAACCCACCCTGCCATTGATGTAAGCACAGGCGCGACACCCATCACCCTGCACCTGCCACCTCAATAATCCGGACAAGACAGCGCGGAGCCTGCTGTGAAGAGGACACATGGTCCCCCTTCAGAAGAGTCTGTCCGGTCCCTGAATAGGTAACGGGATCATTTAAGCATCAGTATCTGTGGAATCATTTGCAGGCAGCTCCACTCAGCACCAAATAAGACGCCAACAGGGCAGTGGTGGGGCACAGACAAACCCCTCAAACTCTAAACAAGGCCTAGGCCTCGCGAAGCCCACTGTGATCCCCTCCCGCCTGTCCTCCTGTCCCAGCGCGGAAAACCCTACGGGCCCGGGCGTCATCAGGCCGGCCGGACTAAGGGGAGGACGCCAGCAGGCACCTCGGCCAGGCACACCTTGGCCA